CTCATCAATCTTAGAAGGAAAGAATTTTATAATCAGTTTATTTTGCAAAGGAAGGCTTAACCTAACCAAATTCATGGCTCTATTCAACAGCAAGTCACTGCCAACATACTGCAAACTGAACTTTATACACCAGAGACCAAGAGAAATCTCTATGAAACGATCCATGGTGACACAGCTGCACCCAAACACATAAGTAAAACTTGGAAGAATATCCTTTTAAACATAACAATCTTTGCAAATTGAGGAAAAAAATAGGTTAAAAGGTAGATTACAGTTTCATACGGCCACTAAGCCCAAAACAACACTGCCATGACATTTAATTTGGTCAAAATCAGACTGTAATTAAAAGAACATACAGCAAGCTGGCACTCAACTCCCTAAAAGGTCTGCCCAAGCCCTTCCAGGTGCAACATCTGAAAGAACTGAAGAGCAGCAAGGCAGTCTTCTCATATAACCAAAAGATGCATCCTGTAAGTCACACACTGTGCCTAAAAACGTTCAAGAAAACAAAAATTCAAACACATGACCAAAAGCAGTTATCATGTAACTTCTCTTCTCCTGTTCTGAAATCGTGAAGTCCAGCGGCTAGTCCAGCCTATTGAGCAACGAAATGATCTTTTCCTAAAGTACATCCAGAACCTTGCTTACTTGATCCTGTGATTTGATCAAGGCCACACACACAACACGCATTGGACGTACCTGCTAAGTACCTGCTAGGAAAATGGCTTCTTTCTCCAGAAGAATTTAAAACTGTACGGCATTCAACAAATAATAAATTATGTTAAGAGAAAAAAGGAACGAAAGAATTGCTAAATCTCAGATAAAGTGAAAATGTACAAGGTTGTCTATTCCAGGGACATAATTCTCTCTGCAGAGAATATTTTCCCAATTGGCTCATTCATAAATTAAGCAAACTGTAACACAGTGACGTTTTTTCCCACAGTCAAAGATAAAAATAAGATATTCATGCAATTTTTAAAAATTATTAACTTAATTTGTATTGAGCTTAAGCTTTTATTTAAAAAAATAAGAACATTTTAAAAATAAAAGGTTATTGTCTATGAGCAGGCTTTCAGCCACACAGTGGTCTCCATTATTTCAAGGTAAGTTCCATTCCTGTATCTGCCATATTGTTGCAGCCATGGAAAATTTTGGTTTATTAAAATGGGGAGGTATTTATTTAAGCTGTAGAGATAAAAAAACACTCTAACCAAGCAACGTAATTATAGCAGGTTGATGATAAGTTAGGATAAGTATAAGTACTTAGGGGGGGTAAGTACCAATTCAAGAGAAGAGCAGATGCAATAAGAATTAAATAACAGCACACAGGATAATAGCTGTGGTCAGCCAGCCACGAGAGTAGGCCATGGCTTTACTTCTCTTTCCATGTTGAAATTATATAGGGGTAAACTTTTGAAATAATTCAATGTCTTATATGGCATAATGGTGAGGTCATTTTATGCAAGCTTGTACAATTTCGCTTTGTTCAAGATGTATAAATGGGCTGCGAAAATGTATGGACTTTGGAGCACAATTAGAGGAGCCCCCCTCTGTGCCTCCCCAGCACTGCAATAAAGAAGCGCCTGCTTATCTGATACTACGTAGATCAGTTTTTCTCACCGTGATTGTGATCCCGTCAACAATATTACTAGAAGTGGTTAAATTATAAAGCAAAATACACTTGAACACAACCCATTTAGTGTAAGTTCAATTCAAACAACTAATAATTAAACTAAAGGCAAGAACAACAACCCCAAATTTCACAGTTTCAGGAGAATCTCAGCACAACCCAGTCCAGTGAAATGCAGTGTTTAGACTCCTCTGTTGCAGACGATTGTTCAACAGGACGTACGTTCGTCAGAAAAACGCACTTCAAACCATCAAATAGCAGACATCACACAAAACCAACCCTGTTTTACGCTAGATCCATGCACTTTTTTAAACCTCACCATAAACCCAGCTTCCTGGAGTTCAGGACACGGGGCCATGCCAGCAAAGACTCCTGTTTCACTGCCTGTGCACCTGCACTGCTCTCCCATGTGTATCAGGAGAGCACTGCCACAGGGAATTCCCTGGAGTGCTTCCCTCCTCTGGTGCAGAAAAGCCTGATCCACTTACATTACGGACCATGCCTAGTAACGCTGGAAAATTTAAACATTAAAAGAATTTAAAATTCAGAAGAATTTCAGTTCTTGTAAGCACACCAAGATCTAGCCCTTACAGGTGACTAAACACATTCTCCTGCATTATTTCCTAACTATTCCTCTAGCCTTTTATAATTACAGAATTACTTTTCCCCAGCAATGTTAAGTTTGCAAAATTATCTCCACACCATGCACTTTTATTACACCTAAAAGTCACAGCCTTCAGTGTCATGCCTTTCTTTCTAAACAGGATATTCTTGCTCTACAGCTCTGATATTTGTCCTGTCTGAGGCACAGGGTCTGGGCAGGGTGCGCATGAACCTCTGGTGGGAGGGAAGGAAGAGGGAGCCAGACTCATCTCAGCTGTGCCCACCAACAGGGCAAGAGGTAAAGGGAACAAATTGAAACACGTGACATTCCATCTGAACACAAGAAAAAACCAAAACTTTTTATTTTATGACTGTGAGAGTGGTCAAACACTGGCCCTGGTTGCCCAGGGAGATTGTGGAGTCTCCATTTATGGGGATATTCAAAACCTGACTGGATACAGACCTGGGCAACTGGCTCTGGGCGACCCTGCTATAGCCAAGGGTTGGACTGGATGGTCTCCCTCCTGACTTCAGCTATTCTGTGATTTTGTAAAGAGCAAGTCAGGAGAACACTAGCAGAAAATTAAAGCCATCAGGAGGATTACCTCCCATATCCAGGAACAGCTCAGGATCCACACTCGGCTCAAATGACTGAGGTTCATAACGCTCATGAGGCAACTGAAAGGCTGGGATAGGTCTAAAGTACAACTCATTAAAACAAAACATACCCATATTCTCCATCTAGAAATTATGTATCATCTTGTAACAATTTTTCCTGCATTTAAAACACGCAGACTCCGGAAATACAAGACTAGCTGTGAAATCTGCCACAGCCACACGTTTCACAGCTCACTCTGGCAGGACAGGCTAGGTAGCCAGATGCCAAAGCAAAATAGCTGTGAGACAGGAA